TAGGCTCAGATTCCAGCCGTTGTGTTCTCGCCACTCGCCCACTTAACGGCTGGGTCAATGAGCTTCGGCATTGTCCTGATTGACCAATCACATTACAGCCCCCCAAAATTTGGGGGGCATAAATTTGTATTAATAATGCATAAATTTAACACAAAGGTAATAAATTAAATATGGCGAAAGCGCATTGCTGAAGCGTTCGAGGTCGGCGTTGTGCAAATATGTGCACTTAAAAAGATCTGTTCAACGATATTTATACGTGAACTACATGGGTTAAAGCGACATTTTTTGGGGAAGAGTAATCCCGACGATTTTTACGACACGAACCGAAGTCTCTCTACGAATAATAGTCGCAGATGGAATGTTTTCGAATCCGTTGCATATTTTTATATTGTGTTTATAAATAATATATCTCATTGAGGATTCTTGGTCAGAAAGGGCAAAGAATATTTTGCGTGTGGCTGAGCAAAATTAATAACCTTTCTTTTTTTAGCTTAGTTAGCTAGGTGGCCTAGTCCTTTGAAACCCTCCCTGTTTCCGCTGATTCAGTTGCACATTTATAATTATATTTACAATAAACCTGGATGTGTTTATTATTGGCCTGGTCTGACATATTGCCAGGAAAGTAAAATGTTATTTTGCAAAGTCTTGTGACATATAGTAGATTAGTATGTAGGATATTGCAGTATTTAAAAGGCTTATTTTAATTAATATTAAGACATGTTTATATGATCCTGTCAGGTGGGAAACCTTGCCAGGCAGCTAGGATGTCATGTTTATACATGTTCGTGAGTGAGTTCATCAAACATATACATGTATTTTTGAACACAAGTTGATATGATAGTCAGGATCTTGGAAACTGCCTCATCCTGCCTAACTGGGATTTTATAAACAGGCCCTTTCATGGAGCCCATGGCTAGGTAATAATAGGCTTGGTTAGATCTCCCACAAGCTAGTTTGGGCCATTCGACAATATTTTTTAGACTGGGCAGGTAATTTGTGAACTGAAACTGATATATCAGTGTGCTCATATATGCTAATTACAGGCAAGCACAATAAATCCAATATTATTTTATATATTGACAACATGATTTACCATGAATACTAATTGAATAAATGTGGGCACATAGTTATTTGAAGGGCAATAAATAAATCCAATTGGTATCATGTGTTTCTTTGTTGTGAAGGGGCAAAGAATGGGACTTGTTGGATAGCCTAAGTAGAGGATTTATGGAACAAAAGTATGCAATGTTTTATAAATTCAGACATCAGTGAAATATGCATTTAGTCTGTTCAACAAGCTCAAATATGTTTGCTCTCAGGCTGAGTTTTGGAAACCTTGTCAGTATAGTATTAAGAAAAGGATAGTTGTCATGTCAATGTGTGTTTTAACGGCTGTTCATATGAAAGCCAGACTGAGAATGACAAAGCATGATAAATTGCTAGTTCTGAAAGATTGAATATTTATTTAAGCTAATAAACAAGGGTTCAGAAAATTTGTTGCAGTAACACTTTAGTTAGAAAATATCAAAATGTTAAACACCAAAATTATCCTGGCATGGGGGATTAAGTTTTCATGGGGGGAAAGAAGCCAAATTCTTCTTGCGTTCCTGCAGAGATGTATTCAGGGATGGGGCTGCAGGGGGGTGTGTGCTATTTTTCATGACAAAGCAAAAAATTATTAGAGACAAAATGACATACAGTAATTTGAGTAATAACATGATGATAAGTGAAATGTGAACAACAATTACAATTTAAATACAGTAGTCAAGCAGGACTTTGCAGTAGTGAAGCAAGTTGATGGGCGGGTGGCACACATGACCGACACAACTCGGCACCAGAGCTGGCAGAGCACCCCCCCCCACCAGATCATGCTGGATGTATTTACTGCCATGGGGATGCACCCCCCCCCCCCTTAACATTGGTGTAAGGTGGGGGGTATTTCATCAAATAATTTTTTTTTCAATTTGGAAAGGCAATATCCTGTCACCATTACCACAATAATACCCCTCACTGCTGTGTGTAGCTACAAATGATTACTGACTTGGTCAACAGTCGTACACTGAACCATATATGGGTCGATGAGCACACCCGGCCTCCATTTGTACAGACAACTTATACAACACCGAAATAAAGCCAAGAACATTTTAAATTTCAAATATTCTTGCTACATCAAAAGACTGTTTAACCAAATCTATGAAGGTGCACAGTAAGGTACAGTTCAACATCAAACACTAGGTCTTCTATTTTGTAGCTTTGAAGTTTGCAGGCTTCCAGACCATCATAATGATCATATCTTGACAGACTATTGTTTGGTCTATAAAAGACTTAGTTCCTTCACTGTCCCTCGAACAAAATCGATCATAAGGAAAATTTTTAGATATTAATCACAAGGCGTAAAATTGCATTACGTATAACTATAGTCTATAAACAACTCAAATATTAACATTAAATTTATGTTCCTCTTCAAAGAATATTCATTGAAAACCTATTTGTTTGAAATAAGACGTTAATTATTCAGATTCACCTGCTTTTGTTGGTAGGGTTTATTGTTTTACTATTTAGATATATAATATATTCATTGACTCGTGTACATTGCAGTTCCTTTCTTCGTTAAAAACATACTAGAACTTAATAACATTTTGTCAAATGAACTTAAAAGCTTCCATTTTGTTTTCCTTTACAAAAAGTTATCGATGAATGCACAAAGTTGTTAAAATTTGCTATTTCCTCTTCGAAACAAAATTGTTCGCTCCTGACAGCCGCCATTTTACATTGCACAGAAATACATAATTATGCAAAACATATGCATAAATTTAAATATTAACCTTGACGTCACAGACAAGAAATATTAACCATTGACCCAGCCGTTAAGTGGGCGAGTGGCGAGAACACAACGGCTGGAATCTGAGCCTAGCTGTTACCCAGGACGTTTTTGCTGCTAGTGGATGTAAAATACTTAGGACTATCCAGGAAACCAGGTTTGAATCTTTAAAGTTGAAGACTTTCGATAAAAAAGTACTTTTTCTTGCTGATTTTCGCTCAAAAACAAACTTTTGACTGAATTTCCCGCTCCTCGAAACTCTCCCCAGTCCTTTTGAAAGTCAATAATTTATTGCCGCTGAGCTCGCGAGAAGCGCCATCTTGGCTTCAGGCAAGTATGGGCATGTTTATCTGCAGTTAGCATTCCAGTGTTATTACAGTTCACTGGTACTACCTCTCTCACGTTTAATAGTCTCCGCACCACGAAATACAACTTTTCAGCATTGTTAGTATCATGGTTAATAATATACATAAAAATATTACTCGACTGTGATTGGTTGATTTCAGTGCAGTTAATCCCAAACAGCAGTGCAATTTTCTGTAATCACAGTGCAATTTTTTGTAATCACAGTGCAATTTTCTGTAATCACAGTGCAAAAATCTGTAACAAACTGATCTGATTGGTGGAAAAACATTGTGATGATTAAATCAACCAATCAGTTTAAAGCAATTTAGTTTAAAGAAGTAACGGTCACAGATTGCTTCAAAACAAAACAAACATGGCGCCGCGCTACACAAAGTAAAAGTTGCCTTCGCGTGGAAAATATGGCTTTTATCTTTATTTTTAAATGGAAAAGCATTTACCTTAAACAAGACTAACAAAAATTACATAGTTGAGTGGAATTTTCAAGCTGTTAGCGTTGTATAATGTGATATAACAAAGCCAGGAAAACTTTGCCAGTGAAATGTTCGCTATAAACGCGTAAGTTAAAACTACAATTGTCTCGAACATTTTTATGTATATTATTAATAAGCAATAGCATGGTTTCTCGTGAAATTTGGATAAACATGCACTCGTGAGTTTTTCAAAGACCTCAAATAGCACTCGTCCTTCGGACTCGTGCTATTTTGAGGTCTTTGAAAAACTCACTCGTGCATGTTATATCCAAATTGCACTCGAAACCATGCTATTACCTATACAAATTCAATTACAATTACAACTTTTAAAAGTCGCTTTTCACGATTTTTGAATTGTCTAGAATCTTTCACGAGGGGTTGAAACAGTACCCCAAAATGGCTGATTTTGGCCTTCGTGAGAAAGGCTAATAGACCTTTCCCCTTATGCGTGAAATTTTGATCTAGATATGCCCGGACAAAAATTTCATCACAGCTTGAAAGAGCATCACAAAATTAGTAATATTCCGAAGTTTCGTTGCGAAATGTTGTAAAATGCGGATAATATAGCCTTGCGAATTTTGCCGTTTTTCAGTCATTTTGTATTACAAATGGGAAATTGGTAATCAGTTTGATCATCTGATTATCAATTTCCCGTGCGTAATGCAAAATGACTTAAAAACGGCAAACTTCGCAAGGCTATATTATCCGCATTTTACAACATTTCGTAACGAAACTTCGGAATATTACTAATTTTGTGATGCTCTTTCAAGCTGTGATGAAATGTTTGTCCAGACTTGTCTAGATCAAAATTTCACTCATAAGGGGAAAGGTCTATTATACAATCGGTCAACTGCATATTTGAAAAATTGAACTTCCATTACCGAGGTGGAAGACAGAAGCACTAATGTCTTTTATATTCACTCACCCACTATCTGAGGAGTATTTCCTTCCCAATGGACATCTACAAGATTGGATATCACAATGACTATATTTCTCCAGTAGTTCTGCGAAATTATTGCCATCCTCCCACGCTGCATCTCTATACGAACCAGAAATGACAACTGTTTAGACAGTGGTACCTAAATTACTTTGAATTTGTATACTCGAGTAGAAGTAATTAACAATAAAACGACTTGAGTAAGAGTAAAAAGTACTGGAGACAAAACGTACTTAAGTAAAAAGTACAATTAAGTACCCTTAAAAAATACTGAAAGTAAAAAGTAAAAGCACTATTGTCTGTAGCGTGTAGGGGGGTGGGGACTTCTCCAATGGATTGGCATACAAAAGACACAAAACAGCACACGCATTATATGCGTGCATCTAATATACAATATTTCACGGCATGGTCTACTTTCTAGACGCCGTTGAAGATGTAAGAAATCCATTAAATAAATAATGCTTATAAGTAAGCCACACAAACGAGAGACCCCAAATGCATGTGGAGGTCCTTAGTACCTATCCCAAAATTAAAATAAACCCGGAATAAATCACGTAAAATTAAACAAAAAATTAGAAAGTAACGAAATGCTTTGCCAGAAAATGAAAATAACGAAGCAAAATGTTGCTTCTTAAAACGACTTCGTTCCAAGTAAAATCACTCGAGAAAAAGTTTACTTTGTTACATGCTGACTTCTCAAAAATAGTATTCAAGTGGAGTAACGAAGTACATTTATTTCGTTAGGCCAAACAAAAAAAATATGTGGGTTTCCGGTTTCCCGACCCTACCTAGCTTTTGGACGTCGAAATCCCGACTCTAAATTTTTTTACTGGATCACGCTTGTAAGTGTTTCCACTTAGAGCAAAACGTTTGTGAAAAATTGAGGCAATATTAGGGAAATTTATATTTGGATGTGGAAGCACTGACTAAACAAAATGGCGTCCGGTTGTTAGGAAAATTTAAAAAAAAGTTAAAAAAAAAGAAGTTAAAACCGACCTACGGCTACCCTACCGAAGTTTTTACAAGAGGAAACCGGAACCCACAATTTTTTTTTTGGCCTTACTTGACACCACTGTGTACTGTTTATATGAGACTAAGTACTTCAAATGGTTTTGTAAACATATGCTGAATATTTCCACGTTTATACAGTACCTATCCGGAACATAGATTCCCATTGTTTTCATTTCTTCTACAAATTTATCGTTGTCATTACAGACAGCACAACGAAAGAAGTAGCCACTCACTTTTGCTTGCTCCTGAGAAATCAAAAAAAATATTTATGAACAAATATTGCTACATGACCACCCGTTTCACAATATTACATATACAAATTCTGCAATACCCCGAAGAAAAGAATGAATTTCAGCACACCGAGTTGTAAACAACACAGATTAGGGAGTTTAAGATCCCGACAACGAACAACGGGTACGGAGTACAGTTGAAAGCTTGTTTTCGCATTGCTTTAACAAAGGTAGACAAAATTTACATATCCCCAGAGCATACTTTTCACCGTAGCGACCTTGGCTACAGCGTAAAAATCACATTCTTGTGTTGTCAAACAGAATCAAGAACATAGCACCGAAACTGACTACGCAACGTTGCAGGTTGGAGAGTATTTTTATAAAGAGATGGTGAAAATTAAAAGATGAAACTTGCCGAACACAAAGGCATGCACATAAAACATATTTGGGATAAATTTCAAACGTGTAGTCGGTAGTTCGTCGTCAAGATCTTAAACTGCCTATTACAGTATAGTATACAGTGTTACATCGCACAAAATGCTACAAACTCTAGATGTTTTAAAGCAGCAGAACTTGCATGCATCAGATGACTGTCCGCCTTCCCTACCATCAGGGCTGATCGAGGGTAAACTTGTTAAAACTCTTTCATGTGGGACTAAATTTCTTCGAAACGTTTCTTAAAATGTTGCGAGTTAATTGAGTACTAAAACGACTTCGGAAAATCGAGTTTCATATATTGATAATAACATGTGGTTGCAAGATAAAAATTTCGCTTTTTACCCTACTTGTGACGTACGCATATCGAATGGATATCCAAGATGGCGGAATGCACGCTGCTTTTCATCAAAATAAGTCGATTTATTTTGAAAACCAAGCAAGATAGGGAATAATTGTAAAAGAAGTTTATATATAATTTTAAATGCTTTTTTCAAATAAGACAAACTTAATTTATATTGCCATATCCCTTTAAGCAGCTCACCCTATAATCCACGTAGATCGACATACAGTTTACAACGTTTATAATAATTGTGATATTCTCCACAATAACCGCGTTTACTATTAGCCATTCCGAAGTTGATGAGAGGACTGGGAACGAGTGTTAAAAAGTGCCCAAATTACGAAATGAACAAAATAACTAAAAATACCACCTCAATATTAGTAAGTATACAAAGTTTGAAGACGTTTACATGAATACCCTTCGAATAATAAGCTTTCGAAAATTGTGAAATTACTGATTAAAAGATTGTTTTGGGGACGCGTGTCCCAAAAACAAAAATCACAATACATTTCATAGTAAATATCACGATTTTCGAAAGCTTATTATTCGAAGGATATTCATGTAAACGTCTTCAAACTTTGTATACTTACTAATTTTAAGGTGGTCTTTTTAGTGATTCGGTTCATTTCTTAATTTCGGCACTTTTTAATACTCGTCCCCAGTCCACTCATCAACTTCGGAATGGCTAATTAACAGTGATTTTCTTACCTGGACACATGATCTATGAAACCAGACATCTTTACAGCAGGGTGTGGTCAATATATCGGTGGAAGCACGACATTGGACAGGTTCCAGGCAGATTGGACATTTCGCTTTCTTAGACGGATATGATGGCGTGTCTTGATGAAGACGATGGTCAACACAGTACGCCCTAAAACATTTACAGGTGTATGTACCACAGAATACCGCAAAAATTTACATGTTCCATATCTTTTGTCTAATGTATATAATATGGTTCCTTAATATTTTTTAGTATAGTCTATCGATATATTTTTTCTTCCTGGGGGTTTTGGGGCAAGATTTCATAAGCTTAATTATTTTTTTTTTAAATGAATATTCTGTGGAAAAAATTCCAATGTACCACAGAATACCAGTGCAGAGGTAAGTAAGCAACGGTTTATCAAATTGTACCAGGAGTTGGTGCGTCATTTTGCATGACAATATTGTGGGATATTGCTAACTTAATTTAGTGAAAGTTAAACACTAAAATCAGTAAAGAATACCAGTGGTATAACCAAAGAATATCAGATTTGTCAATAATTTTGAAAAATTCAGTTTTTCAATGGTAAAATTGATTACACTGTGTGATTCCAGTGTAGTAATAATGTTGTGTTGCATAGAAAAAGTATTGATCAACATAAATTATGCTGGTTTGCGAAGTTATTTTTGAACATTCGGATTTTACAGGCATTATACGAAAAAAAAAGTACCAAAAATATAGAATGTTACTTCTTGTTAATCCTGATTATTTTTAAGAAAATATACATTTTTTGTTTTTATATGTCAATTAAGACTATAACTAATATATAATCACAAAAATAAAGTTTATAGCATATTTCCTTCAAGTTTTATATAAGAAATAAATAAGACTGGTATTCTGTGGTACATTGGTATTCTGTGGTACATACACCTGTAGAGTATATATAATGCTGTGCACCAGAGTTTTGGCCTATTTTGGCGGAGCCGGAGTTTGTTGAACTCTGACAGCAGTTTGTGCTGCAAACTACTGTCGGACATCGGCGAAAAAACCTGAATCTATCGATGAAAAAGAAATTACTTGCATTGATACTGCGTAGGCTTGGAGTATTAAAAAAAGAGGTCATCAAGTTTAGATTAGTGTTAGATTAAGATTGGATTACAGCTAGTTAAGATTATCAGGGTTAGATTTGGAATTAGATTAGCAGTAGGTTCATCTATCCCATCTAAGTCATTGCGAGAATTTATTGTCAATTAAGTACCTAAACTGTCCAAAAAACTGAAATAGATATTTCTGATTGATACCACATGAGAAATGAAAACCTCTTTTACAGTGTAGATCACAACATCCTGCTGATGCCCCTTTCTTTCCACAGAGACAACATTTCTAAAAAACAGAAACAAAATTTGATAACAACACAAGCCGATGGCTTACAGTCTTATCTCTAGTGTGTGTCATGAGGTTTACAGCCTGTGTACAGAGCAGTGAACTCTAAGGGAACTGGAACGTTTTTAGAAGATAAAGATCTTATTTCAATATTATTCCAAGGGAAACCTTTGTGGACATTGATAATCCAGGCTAGGTCCTGATTACAGCATAATACACAGACCTTCCAAGTTTCCCGCAATTACCGTGAAATTCACGCATTTTTGTTTGCTTTCACGCATCACGCATGAAGTGACTTTCTTCCCGCATTTTTAAACTTAAACTTAACTTGTCGAGGTTTCTTCCTGTGAGGTAATTACTCCCATTTCTTTTCATTTGCACAATGTTCAATGCATTCTTTTTGCCAACGCCAGTACCCAGAAGTCTTGAGAAGTCTTGAAAATGTGTCTCAATCGCATATCAAAAAGAGACAAAAAGCTGGGAGACAAATGAGGAGCGCTATTTTTTGCCGTTTGGGAAGGAGGAGCAACGGATGAAATTTCATATTTTTATAGCATGGACACATAAGCTTTATGCTTCGAAAAAAGGCGGAAGAAAAACCTTGGAAAGGCAATTTTCTGGCGATCTGGGGAACTCAAATTTCAAAATTTCCCCCAGGGCGCACCAACTATAGTCAGTGGCATCTTGTCGACACTAACCTAAGGAAATTACCTTCCCGCATAAAACTTTTCCAAACTTGACAGGTCTGAATGCAGTCTGTACTGTACACAGGGTTATGAGGTTTACTGCCGCCTACTTTCTGCATCCATGTCACATTCATGTCATATTTTGCTGTTTGCGGCTATGAAGTATCAAAATGCCAGATTTCGGCATATGGCCTAAAAAAATACCTGTGGTTCCGGTTTCATATCGTGAAAAAATTAGGGTCGGTAGGTCGAAAATAAATTTATTTTTAAAATATTTTTTTTCATGGTTTTGGCATTTTTTTGCTGGGCGATTTTCAGTCGAGTCCCAACATCAAGATTAACTAGGGATGCGTATTTCCTATGGACGAATTTAGGTAATTTCAAATTTGGTTCAATAATTAGTGTGACAACAGACGCCATTTTTGCACACCCGCAACCACCTGGAGAAAATAGGGTCGCACAGTCAATCGCATTGAAAAAATAATAAGGTCGGCAAACAAAAATAGGGTTGGTCAGGAACCGGAACCACAGGTATTTTTTAGGCCTATCTTGTAGCCAAGGTTTTGCAGCATTTGGCTACTTAAAAATACAGTATGCCATAGTTTTGTATTATTTTTGTTGATCCATACAGATGAGCAAAATTTGCAATTTGCCAACTTAAGCCATATGAAAATATTTTTTCAGATGAGTCTGGGCCTTTGCACAAAATTTGTTGCTACAGTAGCCTTACCAGTCGACTAGCTCGTTTGATCTCTCTTAAAACGTCTCGTTCTAGAAACCCCTCAAAACCATCGTTATCTTCGCCATTTTGTGGCAGGGCAGCGGAGAAAAACTACAAATGAAAATAATTAACATTTAAATAGAATAGGTCGTTATTGTCGATTTCAAGTCACTTTTCATCGTACGGGTCCCAAGTTGGTTGCAAATTTGCCAATTACGTTTCCAAGTCCCAAAATTGGGCGTGAACTTCACAACGAAGTTCGCAAGTTCATTTCAATGTTTGAACTTCGTTTGTAAACAAATGTTCATACTCAATAATCATAACCAATTCAATGAAATACAAATCTTCTTGGTAGACCACTGAACCAAGAACTTTCCATTGATTATTGTTAATATAACAGAAACTGTTTAACTCGAACTAGGAACATTAATTTACAATGGAAGTTCAAACATTGAAATAAACTTGCAAACTTTGTTGCGAAGTTCACTCCTAATTTCCAAACTTGGAAACGTAATTTGCAAGTTCACAACAAACTTCGGACCCGCGCGCTGAAAAGTGACCTGAAAACGACAATAATAATAACAAATCTAATATATCAGTAATATGTGAGAATATATAGAAAATTTTCCCTGGTAGATTTTTTTTAAAATTTTTGTTGAGGCAAGTAAGAACATAGACTTGCCACAAGTCAACCATGCGGGAGGGAGGGCGCAGGGGAGGGAGGGCGCAGGGGAGGGAGCGCGCGACCCAAGCGACGAAGTCGCGAGTGGTCGACTTGTGTCGCTTGCAGGAATTTAAATCGCATTAAAAATTTTGGCGCAAATAATTTTGACATATTAAAAAGGGTGTGTACATTTCATACAATTACTTCACCGCGTGCCGTCAATGGGTCTAAAAAAACATTCTCAAGAATTGACATTTCTTTGTCCTCGAATGAAACAGTTTGCACCGAGTGTGGAAACGAAATAACTGACCCAAGTATAAAGGGCCGAAAGCTGTTCATGTATCAACAAAAACAAGTGCATGTAAAAACTTATTGAATCTAGACAGTTGTTTTGTCTAACAATGTGCCGTAATTGTGTCGACAAGAATAGTACTTGATTTATTAGACTTATTAACTGATTCAGTTCGCGAGCAGTTACACAACTGTAACCAAGAAGCAGAGAGGCGGCGATTGTGATCAACAAGAAGACATCGCTAGAGTTCAAAATCCAGTAAATCCTGTTTTCTCAACTAACGATTTTGTAATAATCAGTAATCGAGATCAAGAAACCCAAACTAAACCCGAAACTAGTGAGGAAATTTTAGAATCATCAGATGCATGCATTTTCGGTGACAGTTTTGAAGTTTATTTCTACACCCTGTAGGCTGCATGTACTCATAGTCAGTGTATTAAAATGTTTGCCGTTTGTGTATTTTCACATGGATTTTGTGTTCTACAAAATTGTATTTACATTGTTTATTCTGTTTGCTTCAATAATAAATGTTTGTTCAACAAAAAAGCCTGAGAATATAATGTTATTTTTAGACTCCTTCGATAATGATCAATAAATGTAAACCTTCAATGTAAACAATGACATCACCGGTGGATTTTTCCACCGGTGATATTTGGCACGCTGCAAGTGACAAAAGTCCTTTCCACAGAGGAAGTGAAGCGCGCCATAGAGGGGTCTGGAAAGGACTTTGGAAAGTCTAGTAAGAACATTCTGAGTATGCTTTGGCAATTGCTGAGGCAAATTGCAAGGGCCTAACAACAAAGTCTGGGCAACTCACCATGCAATACTGGTGCACAGAGAAACCAAGTTTGGAGGTGAAAAGTTTTCCACATTTCTTTTCATCAGACGCCTCGCCACAGAATGCACACACATTTTGATCAAATTCTAGGTCTAAATTGTGAGATAAATTCAAGACATACTGTATTTGTCACTAATAGAATTCAGAAGCAAGACCACAGGGACATAAATTGGAGTTGGGGAGGGAAGGATTTTACCTGAAAATTTCCAAACAAACAATTAAAGCTGGTTACGGACAAGCAAGTTTTCTATGCTTCAATGTTAAAAGTTATTGTGTGGCAAATTTTATTTGCTAATTGCATGTGTGTATGTACAACAAATTTCCAATGACAAATTCTTATGTTTTCTGGCTGACTAACCGCATGAAAGTGCTCAAATTATGATCGTGAAATTGTGTCAACTGCCAAGCGTGACATAGGTGCACAAACCATTTCACAGAACTTTTGCCAAAATGTTCCCAAGTTTGTTCCAAAGCTTGTCCGAATTTGCAAATTTTGTTGCAAAATTGGTTTGTAAAACTAAGGCCCTGTTTAGACTATACGGGATTCGCTCGTCACGACATCTTCTTTTGCCGTTAAGGAGCAATGGTTAGCAGCAAATGCTTATTAGTTTGACAGAATTGGCATGTTTATTTGGGTTTCTGAGATTAAAAATCTTCACAGCCTTTCAATACCTACAAAATTTGACCCGCTCCGATAGCAATCCGGTATAGTGTAAAACGGGGGCTAAGCGTTCGATTGGCTTCTTTCAATTCATGGACCAATCAGAGGCTTTGTTTACAAAACGGATTGTGAATTTCAATATTTCACAATGAAGTTGATGCTGCCTGATAATTTCTTCCATCAAGTAAAATATGATGATTTTTCCATGTTGGTGTAATTGTACTCAGGTGAATATGATGCTTGTGATGTTACTCTGAGTGTGTATCCACACCGGGCAAGCTTGAAAAATATGCCTGGCCACGGTGCAAATCGAACCTACAACCTTTGGAATACTATCCCTAGATTCGGTTCCGAAATATCGCATACACGAACCGACCTGACCGCGTAGTTCAGTTGGAAGAGCATTGGGCTAGTATTCCAAAGGTCGTAGGTTTGATTCCCACCGTGGTCAGGCATATTTTTCAAGCTTGCCCAATGTGGATATACTATACACTCAGAGTATAAACATCACAAGCATCAAGTAAAATATGAATTATTAATTAACCCTTCGATTATTTGCAACAGATTGGCAGGTCTCATGCATGGCACTCAAAATGTGCATGTTGCTTATTAAAATTTATCAAACAAGCTGACAATTTACATAACTAAACATTCAAAATAGGCAAACTGTCTTAGCGTTTAATAGACTTTGTGATAAAGGTTATATATACAATAAAAATTACCCATTTTAAATATTCAATAAAAAATTGAAAGCCTCCACATAAATGATATCAAACGCCCAAATAATATATGAACGAGCACAATGGCCATTTAAAAATGCAATACGATGCCCACTCATGTGAATTTGCCCATCCGGTGTTTGCTTCCAAAACAGCTATTTTAAAGCACAAAACGTAGAACAACACGTCCAAATGCAATAATAATGTGCACACATACCTCTCCGATGCCTTCTCTTGTTCATTTTCGCTTAAAAATGTCCCCCAAATAAAAATTTTCCAGGCTGAATAAATCGAACTTTTCAAAAATGGAAAAACAACGGTCGACCAAACGGGTCAACGCGCATGACAACAAATACACAACCGCGTACACAGAGTTCACTGGCCTAACACTCACCCCGATTTCAAGGTGTTCATCACAGGTGTTGCGGGGCCAATCACAAATTTTGCAATTGGTAAACATTGAAAAAAGCAAAAAGACACGCATATAAAACCGCCTCGAAAAGTGTGAGTATTTGACCGTTTTTAATTGCAATTTTTGTATGATATTTCTTTTGTTGTTTCTTCATTACCTGTTGCTTCTGTTGTTGAATTTAACTGCAATCGCTTGTCATTTTTCTAGTTATACTTTGACGATATTCGTCCATGTTGTATGTCAAATATTGTGCATTAAAAATACCGCAGTATAGTAAATGTAAATAGAAATTTAGCAGCTGAAGATGCAGCCTCTGTTACAGATATGATTACGTTTGCTTTTTATGAATTTCAACTTTTTTAAGAGGTTAGCTTTGATGGATTTCTGTGCGACCATTTCGTGGTCAAGTAGACAACTATTAACTCATTAATCATAATAATGAGGAAATATTTAAGCTGGAAGTTAGCTATATAGGCCCAGTTTACATGAGACCAAGGCGAAGTAACACTGGGACGATTTCATTTCATGAGTATTATTTATAGGAAGTGTTTGTTTGTCTGGTCACGGTAAGAAGTCTGATTAACCGTGGATTACCCATTGAGTGCTGGCCAGTGCTCTCCCCTCGACATTTAATAGTAAAATTGTCATGTCGAACCGACCTGACCACGTAGCTCAGTTGGCAGAGCGTTGGGCTAGTATCCAAAGGTCGTAGCTTTGATTCCCACCGTGGTCAGGCATGTTTTTCAGGCTCGCCCGGTGTGGATATGCACTCAGAGTAGCATCACAAATATCATATTCACCTGAGTACACGGCGCCAACACAGAAATAATCATATTACTAGATTACATTGGTATCGAAGGAACTAGATTCTGTTCCGAAATATCACCTACTCGTACCAACCTGACCACGACAGCTCAGTTGGCAGAGCGTTGGGCTAGTATCCAAAGGTCGTAGGTTCGATTCCCAGCATGGCCGGGCATGTTTTTCAGGCTCGCCCGGTGTGGATATGCACTCAGAGTAGCATCACAAATATCATATTTTAAAATTGTCATGTGTTAAATTAATACAGCACAATTGAACTTAATGGGTTAACATGACATATTTTCTTTATCTAGTGGTATTGCCCATTGCTGAAATGTCCAAAAAATGACCAAATAACTTATCGTCAGTCAGGAAATGCATAATTTTGCCTTGAAGACCATCATATACACACTAGCGTGTTTGAGAATAACAAAATGCTTGGAAATGGAAAAACAGACCATGTCGTATTCGTTCATGCAGAGTTCCCTGGTAAGGAAGAACAACAAGGTGGCAAAGATTGATGGTGAATTGATCCTGGGTGGGCTGTTCTCTCTGCATCGAAGACATTTGGATACGGAATGTGCTAAATACACAAGCCCCAGAAATATAATGCGAGTTGAAGCTATGTTGTATGCTGTTGAAGAGGTGAGTCAGAGATACATCCCACTTCTGAGCTCAGAAAAACATTTTTATGATCGGACATCTGGTTAGTCAAATGTCCAATCTCAAAAAAAGATTTTGAACACAATTTTATCAATGAAACCAAAGCAATATAAACGACACTCTTCCAGTATTTCTTGGCTGCATTAAGCCATAAGATTTAATTACAAATACAAATCATCTTCTTATAACATGGTGGAAATTAAGTGTTATTTCCTGGTGGCTGAGGAACGAAAGAGACAGAAAATGTTTTTCTTACACACTGCTGGGGGACTGGTCAAGGTCATCAGAGTCACTGTTTTGCTTGCCTTGTGCTAGCCTGACCTGTGTCCCACCCACCCACCCTATTGGCAGGTAGTGCCTAAGTTATTATGCAGTGGCAGTATAGTGCTAACTAGAATTGGGTTCAGTCTAACACATGATAATTAATTAGTGAGTTGCAGTTGTTTGTACGGATCCATTTATTGTAAATACGAATTATTTTCAATTGGTTGATTCAAGGTCGGGCTGCCTTGCGTGTGCAGCATCCCTCAGCGGTGTGTGAGAAAGTTATGTATAACCTGAACCATGATTTACTGAAAATGCAGTTTATTGTACCCTCAGTTTTAGATGTACAGTACTGCAGTGCAGATCATCACGACCAGCCAAAATACATTATGCTAATATGAAAAAGACCATGAAAAATTTTCCTTCATCCATTGTCCGAGAAAAAGTGATAAATGTCCAACCCATTTTTGTGTTGATCAGGCCATCTGTCCTTCCAAGCAAAATAATTATTTGTAGGCCTGCATATTAAGCACCTCATGGATGATCCAATGTGTTTCACTTTGTACTATATTATAATAATTTCACTTTCCAGATAAACAATGACACTAGCATTCTACCGAATATCACCCTGGGTGCTGAGATAAGGGATGACTGTTACTCCAGCACAGTAGCTTTGGAAGAGAGCCTTCACTTTGTGTTGAATGCATTTGGTCAGAGAGGAAAGATATGCACAGACCCTAACAATCGACCACCTCCCATAATGGGCGTGGTTGGTACTGTCTCCAGCCAGATTGCCACAACAGTTGCAAGTTTGTTGCGACTATTTCAATTACCACAAATCAGTTACGGGGCGACGACTCCCGATCTTAGCGATCGGGACGAATATGAGTATTTCTTGAGGACAGTGCCTTCTGACGTGTACCAGGCCAAAGCATTGCTCGACATAATCACCCAACTTGGTTGGTCTGCAGTCTTTCTGATCAGCTCATCTGGGAATTATGGTGAAAAGATTCGGGAAGAATTTGTTGGCCTTGCTGCAAACCACAACACAAGTCTATGTATCGTTGAAGAGCTAAAACTTGGCGCGCCCAAAGGTTTGGGTGGTTTCACCAATCTCAAATTGGAAACACAAATTGGAAATTTTCTTGGTGAAGTAGAGAAGTGGGAATCGGTTCGTGGGGTTGTGTTACTAACTGAAAGTTCGCATACACACCTTGTGCTCAAAACCGTCAAATATAAAGGTATTCAACATGGGCGTTTTCACTGGCTTGGCATAGATTCTTGGGGTGTTGGCCAGCCTCTCGGTGAGGTCGAAGACGTGGCTAGCGGGGCGATTTCGATCGCGCTACACGTCCCAAGTCCAGCGTCCCTAAAAAAATTCTACGACCATTTCAGAGCCTTAAAGCCAGGAACGAATCTAAGAAATCCCTGGTTCGATCCTTTCTGGAAAGAGTGTGTCAATAATACCGTTTCTACGAACAGCTCAAATGCATGTTCGGATTATGAATCTAACGGGAAGAAAGAATGGAATGACGATGACAAAGTCCCTTATGTATTTGATTCGGTTTACGCTTTTGCACATGGCTTAGATGCGTTGTTGAGAACTACCAATGCTTCCCTCAATTTAAGCGAGCGTTTAGAAAAGTTGTCGGAAAACGGGACAGACCTGTTACAGTACCTGAAGATTACCAATTTTACTGGGAAAAGTGGGAATGTCCGTTTTGACTGTTACGGAAACGGAGTGCGGCGTTATGATATAATGAGTTATGTGAACAGGACTTATACGAAGATTGCCGTTTGGAACGAGGGAAATTTCACAAATTTCATTTCGAGGGATTGGTTTGAAGATAGAAAAAAGATGATCAATTCTAGCTCACACTGCGGCCAAGAATGCCAAAATGGCGAGGGTAAGATTAAGCCCAATGTCGTATATTCATACTAGCCTAAAAAATAAACGGTTGTTTTTTAACGTAACAGCCATGCAGAATACCATTCAGTTGTCACACATGTCCTTTACCATTCCTGTGACACGAGTTTGAAAACTGATTGTGCAATTTTCTTCAGTTTAAAGTTTCATGTTGTCTGCACATGTATTTTCTTTGGAGACACCATTTGCCTCCTGACAAATCGGAAAATGATCAAGATAGTGACTCTGATTGATTGATTGATTTACATATTGTATTGACATATGACTGTTGACATTGCTTGTTAGTCTTCAATATTTGATTGAGTCATGCTGTGGAGATGACAATACATTTTTATTACCCAACCCTTGAGATGTTTTGTTTTTCAATTACCCAACCTTTTACTCACTCAAAATTTCGTTTACCCAACCCTTTTCTCTTCGGTGCCGCCCCCCTCCATAAATAATGACCGCTCCCTTAGTACGCGAATTATCGCACCCTGGATATGGTATTGCCTCAGCAATTTGCATTCATTACTTTGTTCCAGGTCGAGTCATTGACCAAGATGACCCGTCGTGCTGTTGGCACTGTGAGCCGTGTTCATCAAAAGAATATGTCAACTCTGATTCCGAATGCCAGTCTTGCGCCGTGGACGAACGACCTAACCGAAATAGGACCGGGTGCGAACGGCTACCGGAGGACGGTCCAACTAAGTGGGTTATAGTACTGCTAACAATTTGGGGTTGTCTTGGTCTCATCTCTACAGCGTTTGTCGCTTTTACCATGTGCAAGTTTTACTCGACACCTCTAATGATGGCGTCAGGTCGCGAACTAATGCTCGTTTTGCTTGCCGGGATAGCCTTGTCGTTTTTGCTCGGTTTTGCGTTGCTAGGCGAGCCAAGCACGCGAAGATGCGTTTATCAGCGGTTTGGATCCGGCGTGTTTTTAGCGGTATGTTATTCCGCCATACTTGTGAAAACCAATAGGATCGCACGTATTTTCCGCGGGCGGCATCGACCCGCATTTATAACCCGCGGCCCGCAACTTCTAATAACCGCCCTGTTGGTTTCCATTCAAGTTGGGATCAGCCTGATCGCGTCATTCTTCGGGACGACGTCGGAAGTGACGGAGTTGTACGAACCCGACCATTTACATATGATCTGTCGTACTTCGGGAATGGAGTATATAATATCCATAAGCTATAACGTCCTATTATTGCTGCTATGTACCGTTTACGCCTTCCTAACCCGCAAGCTGCCCGCGAATTTCAACGAAGCCAAACTGGTGGGGATAACTATGTACACCACGTGTGTCCAATGGATATGTTTCATACCGCTGTTCTATGGCACAAGGCCGGTCTACCGAACATCCGTGCTTCTGTTAAATTCTTGCTTCAACGCGACCGTGTTGCTTGTCGGGATGTTCGGCCAGAAGGTCTATGTGGTTTGGGTCCGACCGGAGAAAAATACCCGCCAGGCATCGAACCCCCGTGGCAGGAATGGATCGACTACTTCAGCATCCGGGCAATCGATCCACATGGATGACGTTGCCAACGGGAATGTGCCATCGGAGAAGGGTGAGGAATGCGAGGCATTGTTTTGAGTTTCTGCCTGTTTTTAATCGTTTTCTTGTAACATTTTTGTTCACGTGATGAAAATTAGATTTTCACGTGAACAGTACGAGATGAACACATGCACTCACACTCGCACTGTAAATATATACGTACGCACGTAAAAACGCACTATTTGTTACAGGCTGGGCACAATATCACAAGACGCATACATACAATACAATACAATACAATACACAATACAACGGACTCGACAACGGCAGGGAATTGGGTACAGGGCTATAGTCCCAATTGTCATCCAAACCCTTATTGCTACAACTCGGTTACAGGTTACTTAAACAAGCACTATTGTTCTCATTGCATTGCAATGTTATTTAGCTGGCTATCAATCTCGTTCCCCGAGCCTGCGATCCTCGGGAAGGAACGTGAGGCTCTGGGATAATCCGTTTCAGGGAGGAATCTGATTGGCCGTTGATATGGAATGCGCAGTTCGGTCTTATGCCAGGATTCCTGGCTTCCGGCAACGGATTATCCCAGAGCCTCACGTTCCTTCCCGAGGATCGCAGGCTCGGGGAACGTGATTGGCTGGCTATTTACAGGCCACTGATCTAATAGATCAGTGTTACATGCTTGCTACAAGTTCTTTCGAGAACTTGTTATCGTCCCATATGAAGGCAGATTTACACCATACAACTTTTGCCTGAAACTGTCACATGCGACCTGCTTACAACTTGAATTGTACTGCGTAAAGGCTAATTTCCACTAAGGATCAATCCGTGGATTGGAACGGACAAAAACATTTTTCTTGTAAGCTCTGGGTTGGAACTAATTGACTTTAACACAAAGAAAAATTTTCTTGTCCGTTCCAATCCACGGATAATTTTCCTGAGTGGAAATTAGCCTTAAATCAAGCACACACCTCATCTACGACAACGCCACTCACTACATTGTCTTCGTCTACAAACCCAGCCAACATCACGTCATTCATGTCATCAGCCCGTGACAAATGAATGATATTCATTTCAGGATCTTGGAATTGTGGACAACGATTTAATCCAAAAGCCTCGGCTAACATGCGGACAATTTCCAGTTGTTTAATACTCAGTAATTTAGACTACGCTCACGCCACGCGGTCGGAACGGAATAATGACGCCACGTTTTACATATGTTCACACTAGAGCGAAAATTTTCAGATTCATCACGAAACCGGAACGTTTTAGTACCGGATTTATGTTGCCGTTTACACACGCAGCGACGAATCCGATAGGATATCTTCTCGGTTTCGTGCCGTGTCCGGAAACTTTGAATCCGGAAAAGTTTGTGGGAACTTCGTATCCGGAACATTCGAATCTCATGAGAAAACTCTCGTGTGAACGGCTTTCCGTAAAGAATCTGAATCAATTTGTTCTAGTGTTTTTCAAATTTATTGCTATTAAATTCAACCGTCAAACAGGGTCAAAACATCGCATGATATCTCTAAGATGGTTAAAATTATTTACTTTATATATTGACCATCGCTGTGTCGGACTGTATACTTGAAAAACAAGGAATCTGGATACTTTTACAAGTCCGGAAACTTTTGCTCCAGTGTAAACGTAGTCTAAGCCATAGAGTTTCGAGACGGATTCGCAAAACCAACTCAAATAATATAGTGGTGACTTTTTCGCGCCGTTCTCGTCGTAGTGTGAGCGGTGTACTACTATTAAATGAATGATTTTGGTAAATTAATGGTAAATATAATCGAATCAATTTCCTATAGATTTTATAAATTTGTGATTGATTAAATCAAATTTGTATAGACAGTATTGATCATAACCTATATGTGATTGTTAATTAATAAATTAATATAATCAATTGTGTGATTTATAATCAATAAATTGTGATTACAAAGTGATTCTGCCAAACAAATTAATATAATCAAATGTGTGATTTATAATCAATAAATTGTGATTACAAAGTGATTCTGCTAAACAAATCAAATTTGATCGTACAAGGTTTATTTATAAAAAATTTAAAAGTTTTACTCTGCCAAACGTACACGTAAAAACGCACAGGTTGTAACAAACCTGCAGCAGACTTGTAGCAATGTTGTTCCAACAACTTGTCAACAGGATGTGTTCGCACTGCTTGTTCCCAGCTTGTTGACAAGTTGTCAACGGCTTGTTGACAGCTTGCTACAAGCATGGATAATAAAATAAATGGATATGAAACTTCTGACGTCATTGACTGCATCCTTGTTGAAAAACGTGACGTCACGCGTATTGCGAATGTTACCAAAGTTTCTCGGCATTTTTGTTGTTTTGCTATATTTTCCACTTTAAAAGGGTGATCTTGAAGCGTAAACTGGTCTAATTGTTTTAAAAACATGCCTAAGCCACGACAAAGTATTCAAGGTAAATGTTTTTCGTCTTTGTTTTGTATTTTTTTACATTTGTAGCTACGAAATTGGCGTCACAAATTTTTACGAAATTTGCGATGTATTTTTCACTGTTTAGTGCTTGAAATATTTGCTAAAATTGACTGGGAATACTTAGAGTTTTCATCGTAGAATGGCGTGGTTACATTTATTTGCTCTTTGACTAAAATGTTTAGCTGTATTATTGCTAAACATGCCGTTTTTGAGAATTTGGTTTTCAACTAGGTTGAGGCACCCAGCCACGCCATCAATCCCAGTGAAAACATTAGGTCACGTCAGCTAGTTTCATATCCATTTATTTTATTATCCATGCTACAAGGTTGTTGAGCCCAACAGACTTGTTAGAAGTAATTGTTCCAACAACTTGTTATCGTCCTGCAATTCGACAATTTGTCCAACAAGTTGTGAGTGACAACCTTGTAGCAACTTGATTAAATAACAGCATTGTTACAACGTGTTGACAAGCTTGCTACAAGTCTGTTGCGAACACGTGTTGTTGACAAGTTGTGAGATTTTTACGTGTGTAGTTTAATTTCGTACCCAAGGTGAGTTTTTGCAATGTTTAAAAATTCTAAAGTAATTTATCAAATAGTTTTGTGCAAACGTCTGTTATTTACCATTTTCCATTTTAGATTTTCCCGGTAGAATGAGACGTTTCTCCTCGAAAGTCACATTGGTCAGCAACCTTGGTGGATGTTATTGAGCCGTAGAAAAACTCAAACGACCGTTTGGAAAATATTAGTATAATCATATATAAATATAATTGCTATACAGTGCATGCTAATCCTCATTAATAATTCATGAGGAAAATACAAAGAAAATTCATAAGCGTGTCGTATCTTTATATATGTGATAGAGATTTACATAAACTTTAACTTTGATTTTCTCGACTTACACACATAGATATCTTATATTCTTATATATGCTTACACAACGTATTTTTTGAAAATTACTTCGTCAATGAACTTATTAGATCGATCGTTTTTGAAGCAATTTAAAACATTCGCAGTGCGTGTTTTATCAGACCTAAAGATACTCGGCTTCGCCTCGTATCTTTATATCTGATAAAACACTCGTGTTTTAAATTAAATAGTACTTTACTGTCGATGCAATAGAAGTGTTGATAAAATATTTCATGAATTCATTTCCTCAAGTTGATCAGTTCATACGAATTCAAATTTCTTTTTACTTTATGCGCGTTTCCTATTGGTCAATCGGTTCTGAAACGAAATCTAATTGGCTCATCTAAAAGTAACAGGAAATTGATCAATTTTCTATCAAATGAATTGATCAACTTGAGGAAAGGAATTGGTGCAATATTTTATCAACACTTCCATTGCATCGACAGTAAACCTATATGGACCTTTCATAAAGATGGTGAAAAAAGTTAATGTTTAAAATGAAAGTTCTGGATTTTTGAAATTGTAAAACTGTACGAATCCTAGCTAGCTGTTTTAGCTGACTGCCATCCTTATGGAAATGTCTATATATGTTTTATTTATTGCTTTTAATTTAGAATATTTTGCGCGGGATACGAGAGTGACTTCATGCATGGACAACGAGAATTATTTTCTCTGCAGACAACACGCGATGCACAATTTGGAAATATTAACCTTGTATTTATTGATCGAATTAATACTATTATATTAGTGATTTAATATATTACTGTATGATGCATGTATGTATGAATACTAGCACATAATAAAATATTTTAATCTATGGTATAAATATAGGGTGTATCAAGTAGTAACAAGTCTATTGAGCTTAAGAACCTTGTAGCAAGTTGTTAACAAGCTGTTGGCAACTTGCCAACAAGCTGGGAACAAGCAGTGCGAATACATCCTGTTGACAAGTTGTTGGAACAGCATTGCTACAAGTCTGTTGCAGGTGTGTCACAGCAATAGACAAATTAAGACAATTCCCATTGTAGACTAATTTTAAAACTAAGCAAGGAGATGCAAATAAATCACCACAGCTAGAAAGAGCATACTGAAAAGAGTAAAATTGCAAAATTTGGTTGCGAAATGTTGTAAAATGCGGAAAATATAGCTTTGCAAAGTTTGCAAATTTTGTATACTTTTGTATTGCGTGCGGAAATTGCTACCATTTTCGGCCCAAATGTGGTAGCAATTTCCGCACGCAATACAAAAGTATACAAAATTTGCGAACTTTGCAAGGCCATCTTTTCCGCATTTTACAACATTTCGCAATCAAACTGTGCAATTTTACTCATTTTAGTATGCTCTTTCCGGGAATATACTTTTTTTTACAAGATAAAAAATAGTCTATAATGGGAATTGTCTATTCCCTAGCTTTCAGCCTGGTTCCCATATATGCATGGTTGTAACTGTCGCAGGTTAATTTCGTACCCAGGGATCGTACAAGCAGCTGGCGACAGTTTTAAAAAAGACAAACTGTTGCCACGCTGTCGTTTTTCTGTTTCCATTAAAACATAACCGTCACGACACGTTTTTAGCCTGTCGCAACTGTCGTCGAGATAGAACTTGAGTCTATCTTGACGACACTGTTGTAACTGTCGTGAACTGTCGCCAGCGTGTCGCGACAAGACTTTTCTTCATGTTTCCATTTGGTCGCAAACACTACTCTGACGACAGTTAAGCTTTAATTGACGGCCATTTGCGTAATAGACTAAATTTTGATCTAAACAAGTCTAGACAAAAATTTCATCACAGCTTGAAAGAGCATCACAAAATTAGTAATAATCCAAAGTTTCGTTGCGAAATGTTGTAAAATGCGGAAAATATAGCCTTGCGAAGATTGTAATTTTCAGTCATTTTAGATTACAAACGGGAAATTGACAGCCCCAAACCCCTTGAGGCTGTCAATTTCCCGTTTGTAATCTAAAATGACTGAAAATTGCAAATTTCGCAAGGCTATATTTTCCGCATTTTACAACATTTCGCAACGAAACTTTGGATTATTACTAATTTTGTGATGCTCTTTCAAGCTGTGATGAAATTTTTATTGAGATCAAAATTATATCTATTACGCAAGTGGTCAAATATATAAATCATAAGTATTCTCTAGTAATAATCACTCCGCGTATTTTCAGTTTTATTGTATTTCGGCTGACGAGAAAGATCGTGACTCAATCTTTATACGACCGTTACGACCATATGGAAACCAGGCTTTTGTTACAACTTGTGCGTTTTTTACTGTGAATTCTCGCACAAGAGTTTGAAACAAGATCACGCTAAACATTTCTTACACTCTGCGACGTTCTCCAACAAGAAATTCTCATCATTATTGACAGAAAGTTTAAGCGAAGGTACTGACGCCGAATCAACCTCGCTGAGGTAATGTACATCTGTTGTTTCACGTGGACTCCTAGCTACATCTGGGTGCACACGGTGTTTCTGCAGTTGAGGATTTCGTATTAATGTCACTGCTAAATGCCAGCGATTTAAAGCGACTTTTGAGAAGCGCGGGTATGCAGCTGTATTCGCTTTTCCTGTGCAGAAAAAAAAGGATGTTATTTTTTGACCAGATTTATATTAGAACACAATTTTGGAATAGCATACCATAGCTTACTCTTAAAAGATTTCAAAACAAACAAACAACTTACCTTTCTTAATGATAACATGTTGTTTATATAACAGATCATACAATATCTGACAAAACACCACTCGTACGGGGTTCCTGTGCGTCGCTACCACATGAAGATATCCAATATACGAGGCATATCCCCGGTCGGAGTTATGGAACCCCTGAATCATGAGATTACGATCCGTACGAGAAAGGAAAAATATTCCAAGAAACATTCCGGTAAACGTGCGAGCTAGAATTCCCACAACTCCCATAATTATTGTGTGGAAATAGAAGAAAAATATCGAGATATTGTAAATTTTTCTGAAAATGAGAAAAGTGTGACATGAGTCCATGGCAAACGTCGAAAGTATGCAAACCAGGAAACATTGTGTGCTAAACTATCTTTTCCAAAGGTTGGCAAACCAGGAAACATTGTGTGCTAAACTATCTTTCCCAAAGGTTGGCAAACCAGGAAACGTTGTGTGCTAAACTATCTTTTCCAAAGGTTGGCAAACCAGGAAACATTGTGTGCTAAACTATCTTTTCCAAAGGTAGGCAAACCAGGAAACATTGTGTGCTAAACTATCTTTTCCAAAGGTTGGCAAACCAGGAAACATTGTTTGCTAAACTATCTTTCCCAAAGGTTGGCAAACCAAGGAACATTGTTTGCTAGTCATGTTTCCCGAAGGTGGACAAACCAGGAAACATCGTTGCAGATCCATGTTTCTCTAAGATGGGAAAACCAGGAAACATTGTTTCCTAGCCATGTTTACCGAAGGTGAACAAACCAGAAAACATTGGTTTCTAGTCGTGTTTCCTAAAGGTGGGCAAACCAGGAAACGTTGTTTCCTAGTCATGTGGAAACCTTGTTTTCTAGCCATGTTTACCAAACGGGTAGCAACAACACCTCAATGAAAAACTCAACTTGAAACAGTCGGCTAAACTCTATGAATAAACCTTATGTTTTATATAAATACCTGTTATTGATAGTGAGAACTAAATCAGGATGATCAAAATCTCTGAACACATATCTTGCAAGTAGTTTGATTATTGCCCAAATCAAGAGATAATATCCTAGAAACGGTCTAAAAAATAAAATTATTTTATTGAATTTGGTTTTGCGCTTGTGGAGCTCACGTATCGCGTGAAATCGAGTTCACTATACTTTTAAAGTAAGGAATAGACAACTTGCATGTTAGACCAATTTTTGATTTAGGCAAAAAAAAGTAAATTCCCGTAAAGAAATTATTAAAATCAGTAAAATTGCAAAATTTGGTTACGAAATGTTGTAAAATACAGAAAATATAGCCTTGCGAAGTTTGCATATTTTCGGTATGTTTGTATTACGTGCGGAAATTGTTCCATTTTTGAGCCGAAAATGGTAACAATTTCCGCACGTAATACAAATATACTGAAAATATGCAAACTTCGCAAGGCTATATTTTCTGTATTTTACAACATTTCGTAACCAAATTTTGCAATTTTACTGATTTCATTATTTTCTTTTTAACTGTTGTGTTTGATTCCCTTCTCTTTACTTAGATTAAAATTTAGTCTAACATGCAAGTTGTCCATTGGGAGAATGAGATTTCATTTCCAAATCCAAAATTTGGACTGGACCAGATTCTGCACTACCAAGTCCAGTCCTCACTTTGTATTTGAATTACTAAATAAAATGCAACCACCTAACCTGCGATTATATATGATTAACAGTTTCAATAGCGCAAATTTATATGTGAATATGATCAAATGCTCTTTATAATCAAGTATTACGCTTACCTTTAACAATTATTCGCCAAAGGCGAGATGATTACCGGAGAATATTTGCCGAGACGAAGCCGAGGTGAATATTCCCAGATAATCACCGAGCCTGAGGCGAATAATTGTTTTAGTATTTTTACACAAGTCTTTTGTGTTTTTTGGGGACTGCATTTATTTTAATTTCGCTTATTTTAATTTCGCTTAGTTTTGTAACTTCAACAAAACGGCTAGCCGCCATTTTGAAAATTTCGGTTTTGTTATATTCACCTGGGGCCAGTTGTTCAAAGGTGGGTTAGCGCTAACCCAGGGTTAGAATTTAACCTGCTGTTTTAGTTTGTGTATTTCTGCACGTCTGTTTATTTCAAAACTTCAGACAAGTAAACTCTTATCGATCCAGACAAGATCTCTGAAGAAATATTTCCAAATTTATAGACAAGCTGTCACTGAATTTTGCTTTGAATTTAACGTTAACCTAACCTAGGGTTAAACTAACCCAGCTTTGAACAACCGGCCCCTGTAGGTGAATATAACAGCTTAATACGTCAAATTTGACAAATCAACTTGTAGAATTTATTATGTTCACTTGTGCAAAAATACTAAAATTACTTACTTAGGCTAAGACTATTTTATCTTTACAACAATTGTGATATCACTTTCTTAACTGTGTTTATCCTAACCCACCCTGTCAACTTTCCCTGTGGGAGGAAACCCGAACACCCGGAGAAAACCCACAACTTTCGGCAGAGCGTTGACTGACTCTTTTCACATGAGTCCCTAGCGAGAATCGAAGCCACGATCTCAGAGGTGAAAGGTGCTTGCTCTGATGACTATACACCACCGAACGACCAAACGGGCATACCATTACCATGGAAGGGGATTACCGGGGCCGGATTTTGGTGGAAATAATGGGGGAGGTGGAAAAAATTTAGGGGAGGTGCAGCGGTCGAGCTTATGGGCCCCATGTTAGTTAAAAGTTAGGCTTTAGAATGGGCCAAAGTCAATGACGTGACGTGTGCATGTAGTGCACATATATGTATCAGTGTATTAATGAATTATGACTGTACAACTCCATCCAATTTTGCTCTTCCTTACAATTACTACAAAGTTTCTTTCAAAACATTGCATTAAAAGGGTACTTGACACAGAGATGAATGGCTATCACTGTTTCAATTTTACAGAAAAACTTTCTTACGAATTAAGTGTAGACCCTAAGCAACCAAAAAGTCAAATTTTCACTTTGATCTATCATTGAAACTTTCCCAAGGGGGGAGGTGCATGACTTTTCTGGGGAGGTGCAAAAAATCTCAAGTATGTGCAAAACAATCTCAGGGGAGGTGCGCACCTCCCCACAAAATCCGGCCATAGGAATTACATAAAATTAAAATATAGTTTGAGTTTTTGTTGCGGTAAAAAACAATTTCAAAGAAGATTGTTACTTACAAAATAACGAAGAAAGCAACATGTTTGATAATGTCAAGTCTTTCAGGACTAATGATATATTCCCAGTAATGGACTAGCGATACTGTGAGACACGAGGCGATGGTGAGTATCGTTCCCAGAGCTAGGGCACCTAGAATAAAATATCTTGGTCATTAGAAGGCTGAAAATATACATGAATGTTTTTAATCACGCCAAGAGCATGAAGCCTTGAAAGTGAATGCCTAATTTCACCTCTGAGATGAAGGGTTAAATCTGATAGCTCTATCAGTTCTAAAGTGTTCTCCCTAGAGGACCGGTAAGGGTTATTCAGTCATTTATTATTGCTCCAGTATTGCTACGAAGAAGCCAAAACTAACTTCATTTTTGAAGAACAGGGGCCTGTTGTATAAAACTCTTAATCACTTTTTTAATCACTATTTTGTAGTTAAATAGTGATTAACTCTCAAATATAGGCGCTTCTTATTGGATGACGTTTCCACTAACTATAGTTAACTTTAATCACTTTTTATACAACCGGTCCCTGCATGTACTCCTAATATGGGTTCAGGACGGGTTAATCGTTATTGGTTCAGTGTTACTAGAGGAGAAAACATAAACTAAATTAAATTTATTTATACTGGATAGTTCTATAATTATAGTTCTAAACCATTCATCCAAGAAGTCCACTAAGGGTAATAATCTCTTATACGCCCAGTGTTACTACAGGAGGAAACCTAACCTAAACTAACTTTATTTATATTGGATAATTCTATCAGTTCTAAACTGTCCTCCTAGAGGTCCAGTAAGGATCATCCCTTATTGATCCAGTGTTACTACTACAGGAAGAAACCTAAACTAAACTGATTTTATTTCTACTCGATAACTTTATTAGTTCTAAACATAAACTGTTCTCGCTAGAGGACCAGTAAGAGTCATCCCTTATTGATCCAGTGTTACTATATTGTTTCAATACAGCCGAGTCTGTGATCTTTTACTTTTCGGTCAGCGGACAATACAAAAAAGGCAAGTATCGAAGCAGCATCGTATCGAATTCAAGAAGTGGATTGATAGGGCATTACCAGTGAAAGTCAGATGCACTAACACTATAAACGATCTTTGAAACTGCATGCACACACTGAAATACTTTCTTACCCCAGCCTGCAGCAGCCACTTGGTAGCCGCAAAATCGTAAACTTCTTCCCTACAAAATGACAATGTATAAAAATTATTAGAGGGCACTCGGAGACTGTATACCTCCGCCAATGAATTAGGTGATGTATCGTGCAAAAATTATACAATGGGATAATAGGCAATTCCAATTTATGCCTGCAGGGGATGATGGGAAGTAAGGTATCATATTGCTGATTATGCTGAAAAATTTCAATAAAAACTAGTCTACCGCTTACAAGTGTAAGCTATCACTCCGTGTTTACACGGCCACCATTTTTATTTTTTCAGCATAATCAGCAATGTGATACCTTACTTCCCATCGTCCCCTGCACGCATAAACTAAAAGCTGGAATTGCAATTACACATTCAGTTTACTGTTTACTTTACTTCAAATTTCTCATCCAATTTCCAATATCCATTAGTTTCACAAAATTTCGTATTAATACGTGTGATAATTTGTAAGTTTCGTGCTGATAGACACACACACTCACACACACACACACACACACAAACATACAGAAATATATACAAGCGCGGATAAAAGGAGGCAATACTTACTAAAACATGCAAAATTACAAACACAAAATTATATAAACAAAACAAAAGAGGTCGTTCCTGAAAAGATCCACACTCCTCCTATTAAGGAGGACATTTCTGTCGTGGGGAGGGGGAGAATAAGTGTATCAGAACATCCGAAGGGGGTAAGGGGGGTTAACTTCCAATTTCCTCCGTGAGGGAGGTATGGGGATGTTTTCTGGAATGACTGACAGTAAACAACTTGCCACAATATGAGACGGCTGGCCAAGATCTTCAGGAAGAAATGATTTGTCACTTCGAAACATTCGCAACATATTTCGCCTAAAAATTATGAAAACTGGTTTAGTTATACACTTCCATCCACCAAGCAAACGTATATATTATGCACTGATGTCAAAATCATCAAGATACTATACGCGCTAGAATACAATTGTCTTCAATTGCAACAGTCTGTTTAACACCACTGCAAATAACACTGCTTACAAAATAATAATAATAATCTTTAGTATAATTACATAGGTGATTATTGAAAATTCTCCACGCTGATTGGTTGCCGTTGAGGTGATTATTACGCGATAATCACCTAAGCGATTTTCAAAATGGCGGCCGAAGCCTTTTTGTCAATTCAATGACAAAGAAGTGTGTATTTTCTTATTTTTTCCCAAATAATCACTTATGAAATTATACTAAAACAATTATTCACCTCAGGCTCGGTGATTATCGTGAATAAAAACCTCGACTTCGTCTCGGTTTTTATTCACCGATAATCACCTCGCCTTCGGCGAATAATTGTTAATTATTGCACACATAAATTACATAACGAAAAATACAATTAATAAAAGGAAAAAAAGAAAGTTTTACAAAAGATAGTGTGCAAGATCTTAGGGTTTGTAATCCAAGTGAGAATATATACATTTTAAGACCTAACCAGGAACGACTGCGAAAAATGCAGCAGGGCCGTAGGTTCGATTCCTACCAGAGGACCTTGTGCTGCATTTTTCGCAGTCGTTCCTGGTTAGGTCTTAAAATGTATATATTCTCACTTGGATTACAAACCCTAACATCCTAATATTAATTCCACCAAGTGAAGTGCAGAACTAAGTTATTCAAGTGTGCAAGATCACCTATTATAACCATAAGGGGCTAATCGAAACAGGTGATCTGCTAAAGTAATACATTTATACAACACAGAATTACGAAAAAAGATAGCATTACATCCACGGAAGATAAACATAGCTCAGATCTTTATCTAAGCATGAGTTTGCTCCATATCAGTAGTTTTTTTTAAATGAATTTTTTTATATGTTACGTAACTAACTGGTCAATAAAACGAGCAGGTAGCCACACATATTTATTAATACAAAAATTGTTATTTTTAAATTATAGTAATCTGAGTTAGGTAACTAGCTAATATAAACTTATCAGAGAGATTTTAAATTGTCTTTTAAATGCTTTATTACTTAACAATTTTAAGGATTTGTGGCGTACAATACATGGTCTCTTCCCCGAGAAAATGTTAATTTTTCCCCGTGGGAGAGGGGGATAGCTTCCCCAACAGGGAACTGCAGCCCCACCCTTGATCAGTCCTAAAGTTGAGGTCACTGGTGTACAGGGCCGCCGAGAGGTTGGCGGGGGCCCGGGCCAAATTTTTTTTTAGGGGCCCCTATCTAAAAAATTTTTCCCGAAAAAAATTTTTTCCGGAGAACAACCTCCCC